GCTAGGACTCATGTGTCTGGTCATGGAACCCCCTGAGATCGAACACTTGCCCGAATCATTCATAGCATTCCAATGGTGTTCGTTCAACGGCTGAAGCCTGTTCCGAGGACTGAAGCCTGTTCGCTCCGTCGAGGAACAAAAGGAGCAACTTGGACTTCTATGATGTGCCACACGGCTTGAATGAAAAAAACGTGCCCAGAAAAGCGTGCAACTTCATGTTGGAACGTTTGGAACCTGTAGAAGTTCCAGTGAGATCAGTGTAATTAGACAGGGGACTAGATCCATCCTTTTTTCATTGAATGCCTCTATAAAGCCAGGTATACCTGGTCGCAGACAGAGGACACGAGTTATTCAACATACTTATGCCATATGATGCACATTGTAATAGGAATCCAGGTTTGGGGCCGAATCTTCGACAAAGTTTCGCGGCGGACCTGCAACTCACTCCAAAGGAAGTGATGTAAGGGTAGAAAGCGGATCAATAAGCAGAATTCTTCCCTACAAGACGGGTAATAAGAGATTTTCAAGTATGTTCAGACGCACCATATTGACACGAGTAATTGCAGGGTTGTTGCTTTCAACTAGCTCACGGTCCGAGAAAAATACCCTCCAGATCAATATGAAACCATGCGATTTGCTGGGGAAGATATTAAATAATAGAGTGCGTTTTTAAAGGATCTCAGATTCCGTTCCGTTGATGGATGTTGATGGCTCCCTTAGTTGTAGACGAAGACGAAGTGGGATATGTGATGATTCGGGATGTTTTTGGTTTGCCCTAAACCAGTGCAACAGCCGGTAAGCAATTACAGCGGCAATTATCACTCTTTCAGAGACAGGCCTGCAACCTAGCCATATCTAACCATCATCATCCACTGGGCGCCTTGCCTGCTTCAGACACTGCCTGCTGCTTCAGACACTGCCTGCTGCTTCAGGTACTTCAGCAAGTTGTCGGAGCCCCGCAGCATCAGACCCAAGGTGCCACCCTTCGAGTTGGCCAAGCGCGTGCAGAGCTCCTTCGGCCACTGGAACCTGAGAATTCCCCTGGGACCGGATCACAGCTGAGCGAGAAGGTCTGATGTCGAGGTCCATTCATGGTCAGACCAAGGTCCATACGTCCAGACCCGTGGGTTGACTGGAGTGCCATTTTCTTCATGTGCAGGGGATGGCACCTCTAAACGGTATCTGACTTTCTGGGAAGACTTGGCTGACAGGATCGATGGATGGGCCACCCGTTTCGAAGGATAATCGTTCCCTGTTCCCTGGAGGGAAATGGAGAGAGGTCTAGTGTAGGTGGCTTTGACGGATTTACACTCGGAAAGATTTCACACGGAACCCGATGACATGGACCTACAAGGAAGACTAGCTTCCTCCACGTTCACCAGTGGTTTTCAGGTTCCATGTGGGCCTCTTCCAAGGTTTTTTTTGCCCCACCTGCCAGGTGAGGGTTGTTAGATTTGATCAGAGCTTTTCTCCTTCCTTTTCTCCTCTTCTCTCGTTTTCTTGACTACCGCACCTCAACTGCCAGCTCCAGATCGCAGTGGGCACTGCCGGACCTCAACGGTTAGCTCCAGATCGCACCGGGCACCGCCGGACCTTGCCGGATAGAATGTCAAAAATTTATGCCAGATAGAAGGTCAGAATATATCCCAGATAGGGCCAGATAGAATGCCAGAGAGTACCTGGTAGAGAGAGGGCCAGAGTATGTGCCAGATAGAATGCCAGATGATGCCAGTGGCAGATAGAACGCCAGCAGCTTTTTGCCAGATAGAACTCAGAGTATATGCCTGATTTTATGCAAGATAGAAAGCCAGGATATCTTGTTGGCAGAACAAATGCCGGAATTACATGTCAGAACATGTGTCACAGCACATGTCAGACAGGAAACATGTCAGAGATCAGAGCACAGCCCAGGACGTTTCCCAGCCTGTATTAGTATGATAGACAATAAGCGGATTTGATGCCGGAACAAGCGTCAGAACACCCTGTCAATCCGCATAAATCGCCTTTCAGGGTGGGGATCACCCGAAGTAAAGTAACATCACCCCCCCCTAACCCTCAAAACTGGGGGGGGGACCTCCTAATGTGTAACTTACATTTTCCTATGGTTTTGAGTTTTGACCTTAAAAATGTAATATTACATGTTTAAGGTAGACCGAGGGCGCACCTTAAAATTGTAATATTACACTTTTCATGTATGCATATGAGCCAACATGGGAGCCTCCCCTTTCTTCAGCTTACATTTTGTAAGAACATGTAAATTACATTTATTCAGGCTGGGAGATATGTGCACTGAATGCATGTAAGCTGATGATGTGAAGCAGATGAAACAGCCTGCCGCTTGTGAGAATCTGCTACTGCATTGAACGGCTGGTGTCTTTCTTTATATGCTGCTTCCTTCTCAGTTACCATTCGATCGTAGGGGCCTTGCATGGACATTTATTGACTGTTTTTCCCATATGCATCTCTAGTTCTGTAGGTTCCATATGTTGCCTTTCAATTTCATTCAATTTCTAGGTGCATACCACCGGTTTAGGGGCGTCCAAAAATGTAGCTTTTATTTTTGGAGGTTATCATGTAATCACGATAAGCGTGAATTATGCTTGGATACATGTGTGCATATCATCCTTTACTTTTTTTTTGTTTCTCTTCTACTCTACTGGAGAATGAATCCATGGACACGTGCCTGTTCTTCTATCTCTCTCCTTTTCAAAGTTACATTTGATCACCCCCCCCTCAAATTATAGGATTTGAAGTGGGGGGGGGCCTCAGAAAATGTATGTTACATTTTGGCGTCCCCCCTCCCCCCCCATCTGTTTTTTGGTACCGTTGTATGCTTATTGTCTCAGTCATTCCTGGGAATGTTATGAATCTTACCTGGATATTCTCCCGTACAACGCCAAATCTTGGGGGGGGGGAACCGCCGTTGAGTGTAGTTCTAGAGATTCCGTAGGAATTCCTGGGGGGGACCCCCCCTCAACGTAATACCGATTTTTGCCTGGAGGGGGGTCAGCTTACATGTTTACCCCCCCAAACAAAATGTAAGTTACACATTAAGAGGTCCCCCCCCCTGCAAGGGGGCGGTGATAAAGTAACTAATGCATATGTAAGTGCAACGTCTCCTGTATTTTTCGGGGGGGCGGAGGGGGTTCCCGGTTTCTCCTCGGAAGAGTTTGTTCGATGTTTTTCCTCAAAGGCAGAGCTGCCGAACGGCATTTGCTGGCACGGCTCGAGAAGATCCACGAAAGCAAGGCACCCAAGGCAGAACGGCCGGAGCATCTGGAGGAAGTGGGAATTCCGGCGGGCATGAGGAATCAGGATCGTTTTTGTTCACCGATGTTACATGAGTCTCCAAATTGGGCACCACATAGTGAGACAATGTGAAACATGAATCTCCGTTTGCATGTTGTTCTTGATTTTTGTTGGTTTGTTTGTCATATGTTGTAATGGTGACCCTCCCAGTGCTCAGCCAGTTTGCATGACGGTGGGGCGGTTTTAGGGATGACAAATTCTAAGTTCTGTGAGTTCCGCATTTGCCCTCAATTTAAATGTTGCAAGGTTAAAACTATTGGCCTGTATTTACGTGAGCCTTCCTCATCTAGCATCAGACCTGGTCTTATGTGTTATGCAATTGGCCCGGTGTAGGACCTACATATTGTGATCATATGTGATCATAGGCACACTTCAACTTGCAGTGAGTGGAAGACCTCGTTGGTATATTCAGGAAAAATATGGCGACATCATACTATGTCTCCTTACATCCATTGGCACAGTGGCTACAAAAGTTAAGGCATAACTTTCATACCGCCCGTTGGCTGCAGGCAGAAGAGCAGGACAGATCGAAGGTCAACGAATCTTTGCGGGAGGCGTGGCAGCGGAAAGGCAAAGTTGCCCAAGCACCCATGGTGCTGACATGAAGGGAAACATGAGTCTCGTTGTTTCGAGATATAGGCAAATGGATGCAAATGGCACTATATATATACATATATATAGTTGTATTTTGTTGGTCTATGAACCTTTTTGTTTGCTTTCAGCTACCATCCATGATGTCGCACGGTTTTGGTGGGACAATCTCAAAGATATGCTAAACAGGCAGGTTGCATAGGTGCTGCATCATAATATCAGTCCTGTTTCCAGTGCAGCAGAACTCCGACAAATGAGCACTATGACGGAAGGACCATGTCGTCGCCAGCTGCTCTTGCCTTCCTGTCCTTTGGGCAGGGCTCGTGGGGAGAGCTGGATACCCAAGCCTTGGCCATCAGGTCAGTTGAAACAGTTGCAGATCAGTTGCTCCTGCCAGGCCCTGCGTGCACTCTGTGAGAGTGATGATGATGACCTGAACGACGGGGTTTTTCCACCTGATCCAAGCCCAGCACTCTCAGAAACCGAAGATTCGGCTTAGAGGAGGTGTTGAATAATCGGCGACAGGCTGCACGGCTTGGAGAGAGATTGGCTTAGCGAGACAGGTGATTGTTGGCCAAAGAAATGATGGAAAGATGATTTGCAAACGTACAGTATACTTTGATGTACTATGTATTGAATTTTGTTGGTTTGGACAGAGTGCCTGTGCCATGGAAATGTTGGATCAATGCTTCTTTGCGCCGAGAATGATAGACACGTGACCTAGCCAAAAGGCTAGGACGCTGTTTCACACATGAGCAAAGATCCATGAAGGCTACAGTGGCTACGGTTTGCCAGTTCGCAACCTGAAAAAACAACTGCACGCCAAGAGCATCAGTAGATCACCGATCGTAGATCCAGTAAAGCATAGTTTAAAAGAAAATGATTATCAATTCAGCCACCAACTTCCAATCTATGAGTGTATTATTGGAGATTGAATGGAGGAGGGGCAGCCAAACCAAATTTGATACATAGCACGACCTGGACATCCAGTCGATCAAAGTTGTTGGCAGGGAAATCAATTGGTTTAAGAGACCCAAGTCCGGGCAGGTTGAGTCTCGGTTGGTAGGTACCGAGACCTGCTGCTGCAGCGGCCGCTGCAGGATCCCGATCCAGATCTACAATGGCCCTGCAATGATGCTTGTTTGCAGTTCTAGATTCAGACGACTTGCTGGAAGACCAACATCACCAAAATACCGAGAAACCTTTGGCACTGTGGGATTGAGGCCTTAAGGATCTTCAACAACTGAGACCTTCTCAGCTTATTGCTGCAATCCTGATGTGGCCCAACAGCCTATATCCAGGTAGTGTTGCAGGGTGCGAATGCTTCGTGTAACTAAGCTGCTTGGCTTCACACACCAAGGAGCCTTGGGATCCAGCTGATTTGGATGCCATGGCACGCTTCGTGCCACCGACCTGTTTGATTGGACGGCTGATTGATGCGCACTGGGATGATCTCAAATGAGATTTGGCTCCGCATTTAAGCCAGTGACTGGGTGCCCTCGCATTGCTACTAGTAACGAGGGCTACTAGTTACTAGCAGCGGTGCCCTTGTTACTAGTAGTTTAAGCCAGTAACTGGGTGCCCCCAGAATGTTTCATGTGGTCAACGGTTTGGTCCATCACGCTTTCCGCTCCTCTTGTTTTGGGGGGAGGGTCCTTTTCGGGCAAACTGGTGCCTGCATTCATGTGACATGTGTGTCCATTGCTTCTGGCTGGGAGAAAGCGGAAACCACGACTGTAACGGACAGCAGTCATGGTTTCGCTCTTCAACGATAGGGCTGTTTGGGTAATGAGGTCTTAGGTCAATTTGGTCGTTGATTCATACCACCACCTGTATTTGATTATACGGTCATGATGTGGCAAGCTTAATGTCAATGATGCCATGAATCGATTACTGTGTATACTTTTGAGAATGATGAAGTCAAACAATGTATGTATATACATTTACTGTATTACTTACTGTATGTATACCTCTTACTGTATGAAGTCAAACATGGTGTTTTGTCGTACATGAAGTCAAAGGCACGTTCGTTTGGCTACGGGCCTGTTGTCTCTTTGACAAACGTGTCCTCTCCGCCAGGGGGTGATGCCAATGGGCTATGGGCCGTGGAACATGTATTGAGGCATGTATTGAGGCTGGCTGGCGCGGGGGGTTGAGCGAGGAGCGGGGGAGGATGGAAAGAAGCCTTTCATGACAGTTCCTGGCTTCTCCAGTGGAGATGAAGGGGATGTTGACAAGGATTCGACTTATAATTCGTGGGCTTGTTGGAGAGGTTACGACTACTGACTTGGGGATTCCAATCATTGGTCGTGTTGTTTTGCCTTAGTACCTTCGCAATGCAATATGCTGCTGGTTTTCTTCCGGCCCTGCGTTCGCGGCTCCTGCCCGAGCCCATCGGTGCCGGCGAAGTGAAGTCAGACGCTGGATCAAGGAAACTGCTCAAGTCGTGGCTTGTGAAAGAATGGATGGATGAAAAAGGGACGATCAACCATGGGTCGCCATGGGTGGCCCTTTTTCAAGAGGAGGAGGGAACTGTGACTAGCTGGTGCGAGCCAGAGGGATGGACGCGCTTCTTTAGGGAAACAACTGTTGTCTCCCAAAATGCGAGTAGGAGCGAGCATGAGCTTTTTCTTGGAGACCAGTGACTCACATGCCAGGGCAGAGTCGGGCAGAGAGGGTTTAAGATGGTTCAGGTCCCAGGTCCCATGTTCTGCCAGTAGGATGTTTGCATGACCGTTTGACCCGCACTGGCTGCACAGAGCGTCCATCCTGAAGTTGGGTGTGTATATATATATACATATAAAATAACAATAATATAAACCAGGCCCCCATTTTTTCATGACCCTGGAACCAGGACCCCCGAATAGATAGAAAAAGATATAAAACGTCGATCCCCACGTAGGAGATGTACTGGACACCGTGCCACTTGTTCTCTTTGGGGATCACTATATCACCCTAGGGATCCACTGCCACCTTACCTCAGGTTCGGTACGACTGGGCCTGACCCAGGCGCCTACATAAATAGTCTCCAATCACGTTCTGACAAGGTACGACTGGATCCCTAGGGTCACATATTGAACATCGGTGCCACCGAATTCCAAGAGTCGATGACGGTACGAACACCCGCTGGATGGGACACACATGAAAACATGGAAGAGACTTATGAATCAAACTATGACAGCATGTACAAGCATATGAATCATGATGAAACATCATATGAAGCCATAAGCCATATATCATATGAACATCTGAGAGGAGGAGCTGAGCTTTTGATGCCGCCTTATGGGTGGCCGACTCATCTGAGACGACCGAGAACGCGCGACAAACAGACCCTTCGGACCTTTATTAGAATACTGATTCTTCCCGTTCGGGCTCCAACTATATCCTCAGGTTCGGTGGAATTCGACCCCCCTGGCACCTACCCCAACCACCGAACCGAAACGGAGGTGGCATTTGCGTGAGTCCGGGGAAGGAAAACCTGCTGGTGTAAACGCGGCGTGTCAAGTGTCATGGTGGAATTTAAAAATGCATATAAACCGAATTTAGGGGGTCCTGATATTACTTTTTGTATCTTTGTGTTAAATTGGGGTCCATTTTTTAAATTGTACTCGGGATGACTGTAACCCTGTCATTTTAAGCGTGAAGTTGCTTCCTTTCCAGAGTGGACCGAGTTGGCTCACCGCGTGAAGAAATCCCTGGGTGTGTCATCGACTCTGTTGTTTTTTGCGGGCTTCAGGCGGGGCAACTCAGAGCAGCATGCGGACTTGGCACGCCTGAGCTTGCTTGGACGAGGCACGTTATTGCAATCCTTGAGAATCGCGGCCTGGACGAGTCTCTAGAGATGCTCCAAAGATCTCACGAATGGCCGCGGGAGACTCCGCCGTGATTCTCCGGCTTGTTTAGGTTTCCGGAGAAGGCCGTGAGACTGGTGCCTCCAAGATGATTGGTGATCTTAAAAAGAAAAGATGCTTATAGGCTTTCTGTGCAACCTCTTAGACTCTTTGGGCCCTTTTCCAGTTCCTGCTCTGGACCACTCCTTTTCTGTTTCAAGACAATTGGACCTGCAAAAGCAGGGACACGTGACATGAGCACAGCAGCCAAAAGTCGGGTCTGCATCCGGGCGCGTCCTGGGCGCGTCCTTGGCCAAACTCAGCTGATTGCAGCTTTTGAAGCCTGATTTCAAAGGATTGGTCAGCAGGGGGCAAAAATGGAAAACCCATGCGAGTACTGTAATTAAGTATGAGAGCATCCTATTTATTCAAACCATTTCAAATCATTATTTGCAGTAGAGGCCCTATATTCTTCCTCCTATCGTTATGGGAAGCTTTGGAAGGTCATATAGCATTGTACGGTTCCCATGGTTTCCCGTGTCCATCGCAGCTGCATGAAGTATTTGGCTTTGGCCTGCCTGGGCCTTTGCCCCGTGACCCAGCTTGGGCGGGCGCTGACCTCGCTGGCGCCGGCGGGGCGCAGGTGCGCACAAACAAGGCGGCCGACACGCGGCGCAAACAGGTTTGTTGATTTGGGTGTGTTTTGGAATCGTCTTCAACTCCACTGAGACGGGGCACGTTTCGAACCACAAAGGAAGAATATCTAAGAATATCACCTGTCTTCTTCACCCGTACACTCTTGGGACTCTGTCAGAAGACTCCATTTTCTGTTACATGGCACGTGAGAAAAAACATAAGGGACCGGTGACGGCTCGCACGACGGCTGGACGGCTGGCGGAGCTTTTCTCGAGTCGTGCCGTGGGCATCGAGTTTGGGCGAGAGAGATGTGCTTGGCTTTGTGGGCACGGAGGTGGTGAGACAGCTTTTGAAAGCTTTTGGATGTTCTTTTCCCCACCTGCCAGGTGAGTTGCAACAAAAATATCGAATCCTTTAGAGAGAGAGACAGACAGAAAGAAAGAAAGACCTGCTTTTTTGCTTTGCTCCCTGCCACGGCGAAAGGGTCCTTTCTTTCACCCTTTGATGATGCCAACCGCCCAACACCGCCACCGCCGCCGCCCGCCGAAGGAAGTTTCTTCGTGCGCTGAATGGCGTGAGTGGTGGGTGCACTGGGGTGCAATGGCCTTACTTGCTGCTTTGCACCAAGGGCTTAGAGAGCGAAGCTGAGGACTTGGTTCGCCAGGCGCGTGCGTTTTCGGGCGCGTGCGCCCTCGCTTTGGAGCGCTTTTGATTTGTATGCACAAGTGAGAGGTCTAGCGTTGACAGCACCGGACTTTATAAAGAGCACCACTTGAGACCCTTTTGTTCAACTGTTTTTGCAACTGCTACTGCTAATGTTCGAGAAATCTCCAGTGCTACTCTCGTGGTTGACATGGGGGATGGTGCAGCCTTCGTTCGTCGCTCTCCTGGTGCTTGGTCCTTCAGCTGTAGATGTTTGGAGCTGCCATTCAGAGGAGCTTGCTGGTGGCCTCCGCTTTAAGCGCTTGGAAGACCCAATGAATGGCAGTGCCTTGGCATCGAGTTTTGGCAAAGACCGGAAGATTCTTCCTTGATGAAATAGACGTTCCAGGTCCTTCCAATTGGAGAGTGTTGACGAAATCAAATCAACTTCAACACCTTTCAATCAACGCTTTTGGATGCTGTTGGGCGTATGATATGATGTTTGTGTGTGATGACGTGTTGAATATTACATGTTTGGCACCATAAGTCCTACGCAAGCATCCCTCACACAAAGCACTTCCCATTCGCCTGCGTTTCCATCATGTTTGCGTCACATAGCTCGTTTTGGAAGCATTCATGGTGCATTTTGTCATGATTTGTTTGTAAACGTGTCAGAACCTCTCTTCCAAGCCAGTTCGGTGACGTGGACTGCTGATCAACCAAAAGACAAAGCCCTATGAAGGTTGAACAATTCAGGTAACACCTGATAAAGGGTTCACTAAAGGGTTCTCCATCAGGGAAGATCAACCCATCCAACTCACTCACCATACTGGTGAATACACTCCCGAGTCAACTCACAATCCGACCCTTTTTCCTGTCTGGCCCCCCGTGGGTGTGATGGGTTTTCCTTGACCGACCTGGTGTACGTGTTAGGTCCATGGGAGAGAGAGCCACCAGGGTGTCAAAGAACATCGCACCCGTGGCCTCGTTTGGATCCACCGCAGCCACCGCACCGGTTTCGTGGCCCTGGCGCAGGGAGCGGCCATGCGAATGTGGGACGGCTCTTGATGAGTCCTTGGGACCGAGATGAAGGGGAACAGGGGATGGGGGTTGGTTTGCATGCAGGATGGCGGGACATATTTAATATATAGTTAATTAGTTTATGTATATACTGTCTTGTATATTCCTAAGCTCTTTGGAATTACAAGTGTTGCTTCTTGACTACTTTTTCACCATTTCCTAGATCGCGATGGTGATTGTTCTGGAGATCGGGATGTCAAAGCCTTCAGGATTGGAATGGTAAACTCCTGGAAGACTAGCAACTACCTACCTATAATTGAACATAAACTAAACCATCTGTCCTGGACAAACTGCTGCAAAAACCCTTTGTCAAACATCGAATTGTCCGGCAGAGCCCTGGAGTGGAGTCCGAATGTGGAGACATCCACGAAACTGGTCGAGCGTGTGTTGGATTGGTTCATTGGGGTGTTTTCTACTCCAGAATGCTTGGTAGTCGTTTGGAGAGGAACGTTCATTTGAAGTTGAAGTACTTTTTCCTATGTGCTGGTGGCAGGCTGCTTTCCGGGGATGTCGTAACAGTCTTGCATAAGATGGGCCTGGCCTCAGGATCCATTTCATCAGCTGATCAGCTTGTGTGCTTGATAAAGCACCCATGGAGTCCAAGATGTCCAAGATTGTCCAAGAATTGACCCATCCCCAAACCAAAGGTGTTTTGGCGGGATTGACCCCCGTGGGTGTTGACTCCGCATTCTAACACCCAAGTTGAAGATTCTTCAGCTTGTGATCATCAAGTCCCTCCAAACTCAAACTGTGCCGGCATGACGCTCATCATTCCATGCTTCCACTCAGGTCCAACACCCATCCACACCCCAGTTCTTCCCGGTCAAACCGCATGGGATAGGTCCGGGAACGTGGGTGATGGATGACTGACGAGTCCAACGCCCTAAAGAAGTGACCTGAAGAGGTGATATCCCGAGGTCACTTGAAGTGGGCCTGTAAAAGGTCACTGGATGGCCTAGGCACTCCAAAGGGGTCAACGACACTCCACAGGGGTCCAACGACACTTCTCCTAGGCCTGTAAAAGATCTCCAAAGGGGTCACGAACTGAAAAAGCTGGTTTAACGATCTCCTAAATGCGTTCCTCGATGCTGGTATGGTTCCTCCACACTTGTGGCTCGAGCGGGCCAAGTTACCCCTTTCGCCCGTGGAAAAACCTGGTAGGTTGGCCTCCTGTAAGTGGTTCATTTTCCGTGTTGGTCAACGAGGGTTCCCCATGGTTCCCCGGTTTTCACTCGCAGCCGCACGTTCCCCTCCACTCGTCCTCCGACCACCAATCCCAGACACTCCATGGGACTGCAATATATGCCGCCCCATTGGCCCCCAAACCACTCCAATTGATCGGCAGTCCTATGGCAGTCCCATGTGTCGTGTCTGGGAAGTTCTCTCACACCAGCGCCCTATAGACGAACCCTGACGAACCCTGTCCCCTTCGTCCCTTTTTCGCGCCGCGAACGCTCCCTTTTCGGAGGTGGTTCAGAGCGCCTGCCTTTGGGAGTGGAACTCCCGGGTATCATCCAAAGCTATGCCTTCGTGGCTGCTAGCGCTTGGCACGACACGGACACGAGCCTCGCGCTCCAGGACCTGGAGGCAGTCGACGTCGTTTTTGTTCGACGGCGCGGGGGTTGGAAAGCAAGATGTTGAAATCTTTAGAGTTTAAAGTCTTTTTGGGGCAGAAGGGAAGATGGGGGAGTGGCCGGTCATTGCGAATCAAGAACTGATTCAACATTGCACCAGGACATGCCGTCCTGAGCCCGATTCGGGTTCACAGAAGAGATGCCAAGGTGATACCCTCCGACACACTAACATGGAAGTGGAAAACCGCCTGTTTGTAAAGGAAAATGGTCTTCCAAAGGCCCATTGTCCACTTCCATGTGAGTGACTCCGAGTGCATGTCACGTTGCCAAGAAGGATGGCTCAAGACTTTTGGCGGCTGACATGATTCGCCAGCGAGTCTGGTGACGGTGGCTCGGAGACGTTTGTTATAGCAATATGTTGACCTCCAGCTACTCCACTGAAGTCAGCAGAAGTTTTAAGGATTTCAAGCTTGACCCAGTGTCGTTGTACAGATGCTTGAAAGTTTTGGGAGCGATCCTCATTATTGTGCTAAGTAGTTTTGGAGCTCTCCTCCTCGGCTCCTGCAAAGCTGTCCAAAGTGTAATGTGTGACATTGATGTGGCGACTGACTATGCAGACATAAGCCTATGCATCCTTCTGGTTTCTACTGCTGTTGCGGCTTCTGGAGCTTTGTGGCTTTGGTGCCATGCCTCAACACCACACCTCCTTCAAGCCTCGCGCTTTTTGGTTCTCAACTGGATCGAGGGATTAGCCTCCATCAGCCTCATCATTGCGGTCAGGGAGTACTATGATGATGAAAGAACTCAGTTTTACCAGGAGGAGGATGGGGCTGATATTATGACCGTTGGAACGCTTGTGAATCTCAGAGTCTTTTTGCAGGTTTGCGAAGTCGTGATTCTGCAGATGTTGATCCAAAACCGTCTCCAAAGCATATGGCCGGCACTCAACCAACCACGATTTGGACTGTGGCTGAAGAGGATTCTTTGGGCAGAGTTTGCTTTGCTGACACTTTGGCCTCTAACGTCGACGGTTGAAGTAGTACATCGTTTATACCACTTGGGGTCTATTCTTGCAAGCTTGGCCGCTGGAGCGCTAGTTCTTTTGGTGCCATGTTGCTTTATCATTTGGATGATTCTTGTTTTTGTTACCTTGTGCCGTGTGCTGTCCATTTTCCATCAAGCGCAGCAGATGGCGCAGAGCGTCTCCTTGGAGTGTAAGGCTTTCCGCAGGAGCCGGCGAGCGGCATTGCTCCAAGGTTTTGGCTTGGTGATCAGCCTCGTCACCACTTGCATCATCACAGGCGTTGCAGCCTTTGCAGGACCCACGATGTTGAAGCATGACGTTTCGCGGCAGAAAGTGTTGCCTCTCCGCAGTGTTCAACTTTCTCAGAGTGTGAACCTTGTTATCAACACCATCGGTGTTTTTCTGCTCTCCGGGGCCTACCGCTTCTGGCAACGTGCTTCTTTGCCAGAGGAGTCTTCTCGCGAGAGTACGGCTTCGTCATCTTGGTCTTCTTTGCCCAAGTGCTGCTCAAAAATGGCCAAGACGGTCAGGCCGCAGAGGGCCATTGTAGGATCCGAATGGGAAACGAAGACTCAGGAACTGGCGGGTCGCGGTGTATCCTTACAGGAACTTCTTGCTTTCTATCGCAGATTGGGGAATGACATCATGTTGTCTTACAAGCCGGATGTGCACACGACGAATGATGTGGTGAGACTGGCAATTATTCCACTGACCTCAGCTAGGGGATGCTCCTATGCAGAGCTCGTGAATGAGGTACCTGTGATGCCCCGAAAGATGGTGACCCATAATTGGTCCAACCTGTTCCGGGACTTGCTGGCAAGTATCGTTGCTGATGCCCTAAGAGAGCACACCTTTGAGCTTGTGTCTGCTTTGCTGTCGGATCAAGTGGGCATCAATGCCTTGGAACAAATGCTCCAGGTGCAAGGAAACTTAGAGGACGTTTACTGGATCTGTGCATTTGCAGTGAACCAACACTCTGGGATATGTGGAGCAAACCCACGTGCAGATGTCGATCCTGTCACAAGGCTACCGCATCCAGTTTGTTCATGCAGGACTCCAAAATTCTTCAACACCACGCCACCATTGAACCAGTACGGGGAGAGCATTCCTTGTGAAATGAACAAATTTGATGACATGATGTCCTTTCTAGCGTGCAGAGATTCTTCTTTCGCAGAGGTGGTTGCTGTAGATGCATCATTGGAGCTCTTCCGCCGAGCCTGGTGTATGGCTGAACTGGCCGAAGCTCAGCGCATGGGCATGGCTCAGAGCTTATTGGTCCGAAATAAAGCCACCTTGCTCAGCAGACAGCACACGCTCCAAGGCCTCAGGGTGCAAGACATGACCGCAAGTCGCCAAGAAGACATCACTGCCATCCTGGCAAAGATCCCAAACAAGGATGCCTTCAATCAGAGACTGCGATCCTTGATTCTCGACAAGAAGGTTGGGCTCGTAACTGTTTGGAAACATGCCGATACTTCGCAGCAGATGGAGGAGCTAGCCCATGTACTCAAGTGGGCTCGCATGTCAACCCTGGTGAAGGATGGACTGCAAGTGTGGCGAAAATGGGTTCCCTGACGATCTACCTCCGGATCGGAGGGAGCTTGCTGGGAGCCCGCCAGTTCAGCGCCACGGGCCGTTTTTGACCAACCAACGAATACCGTTTCGGTCGGCCCAAGTCCATCTATCTTTGCCGCACCTGATGACAGAATTCAACGTTGATTCCAATAGTGAGCCGCCCAATCCAGAACAAAACCGCCTATAGATGCCTGATGTACGATTTTTTCTGGCGATTTCCTGTCAAACCAATTTCTCTCCCAAAACCTTGTCATATGGGCCATAGTGGATTGGAGTTTCCTCCCACCTCCTCGTGACTCATCCTCGTTGGACACCACAGGCCTGGGCGGCCACACTGGGCTCCTCGTTGGACACCGCGGCTCAGCTGCTGGACACGGCGCCAGACCTGCCACGCTTCCGGGCCTCGGTGATACGAGACTCGGACCATGGGTAGAGGGGGTCTCGGCAGAGGGTGAAACCTAAAGTTTGTGAAGGACCCTCATGTTTGAACATTAGTATTTTCGAACATTGACATCCAAAATGTATAGCATCTCCATACTTCTGAGATGCTCTTTCCAAAACAAATTAAATACAAATGTTAGGTCATACATCTAAGTGCGCTAGATCAATCTAGCACATCCCAATGATCACGCTGGTTCTTGTGAACCATTCCCACCTACCAAGTGACCCTAGGCCCTGGCTCATACATAGAGCCTAGGACCCCTAGGCTTGCATCAACCCCAGGCCACATTTGAACACCCCTAGTGGAAGAAAGAGAAGGAGCTGTGAAGATCTCTCATCAGATTTGCTGTGGTGTGTGAGGGAGTTGTTGTGGATCAAAACGCTGAGCACGTACAAAGTGGATCAAAATGGAGTGTACATGGAAGGCCTGTTTTGTGTTCGTTCATTTGGTAGCATCCAAGTACGAGGGCTACTGCATTTGTTGACCCGTGATGCCAATCGATGAATTGAAGAAGATAATTTTGTTTGTATAGTTGGTTTGATGTTTTGCCAAGGGTAGTCAGAGTGATTCAGCAGTTCCCACTTGGTGACGGAAGTTACTTTGGTGCCTTGCCGCAACCAGCCGCAACATCTTCTTGATGTTACGTAACATGTCATGTTTGCACGTGGTTCATGTTATTCAGTCCAACTTCAGCACGGTTCATGTCCTAGTATGTCCTAGTTTGCCTTTGTTAGGCCATTTTGGGGAGGGACGTCAGCATGGTTCCGTGTTTTCCTCGCTGAAGTCCTGGTCGGTCGCATGGTTCATTACGACGCCCGAAGGCCCAAGAAGGCCCAAGGCTCAGGGGAAAGAACTCACTCCATGGAGTTCCTGGGAGGCTTGAGCGGCTTTTTTGGAGGGTTGATCGGTTGGTGCTTGTTGGCAAGGGAGACCAACACCGCGGGTATGTTCAAAGCAAGCACATCAGACAACCAACCGAAACGCACAGGAGATGGTGAACATCAATTTACATCGGAGCAAGCAATGGTAGCGATTGGAAGTGGCGTTGGAAGCATCATGCCATGGAAAGCCGACATGACCTGCTACCTAGCTGCTGACGGGGCAAGCTGTGTCACACGTTCTTTCTCGCCGGGGGTCGTGAGGCATCCCCAAGATCGATATACTCGGCTCTGACTCACGAACCATGGAAGTGGAAAACGGCCCCCTGAACAACTTCTTTCCTCATTTTTCCTCTAGAAACAGGCCTACATGTTAGGGAGTTAGATTGTAGTTTATCGAGTGCCTCTCAGATGTTTGTGGTCAAATCGGCACCCGAACTGAGCATGCCGCGCATGCCGCGCTATAGCATTCCAACACTCCCCCTACTCAAAGATTCTAAAGAACTAAGGATCAAGCCCTACGGATGGTAGCCAAACCCAGTTGTCTTGCGGAGCACCTCCCGGGATAAACCTTCCATATTTGGGTGTAGATTAGGTAGTTTGAGCTGGACTTTCAGCAGGAGTCATGGCCAATTCCTACCCAGTCAGGATAACCTTGAACCTTTTGGGGGGATTGGTATCCCAACTAAACATGAACAGCTGGAAGTTCACTTCCACCTTTTTTTCCAGACATCTCCGGCAGGAGTCCGACTTGCCTCCAAGTAAGGCTACGACATTGAGGTCTTGTCACTGATCCATCACAGCCATATCACCGTGGGGCTCTCGTGTGCGCAACTGGGTGCCGCACGCCAGGGCGCAACGCACCCATCCAAGCTCCCAAGCGAACGGCGCCCATGGCACACCACTGATGCACGGCATCTGCGCTTCTCCACCGCTCGGTTGATGCCTTTGGCAAGAGCTCAGTGATACTTTTTGTATTGATGATTTCATCTCCCCCTGGGTGGCCAAGCAATGCCAAGCCGCGATTCCATCCGGATGGAGGCCACTCCAGTCTCGACACACTAGTCTTAAAGAAATTGATGTTTGTGTCGAGTCCAGGGCAGGCTCTGGTGCACATGTATCCTCACATCAGTACTGTTGGATTGAGATACAGAGTTCCAGAAGGGGAAGGGTTAGATTCAAAACGTGTGCTTGCCTCCTGAAGAGCAATATGATCACCTTGGGCTGTGGGTGCAATTGTTTGCTCCAACTCACGGACACGCCTCGTGCGGCGTCGCTGTCGGTCGACCTAGGCTTCGTTTCGCGCGGTTGACGCCGGGTGCGCGGCTCCTGGACTTCTGCGGTGGCTCTGGGACCATTGCCCTGGAAGCGGCCTGTGAGTTCCGCGACCTCCACGTGGTCTCCGCGGACGCCCGGCGAACCAACCGAAGCGGACCGCAACCGCATGGTGAGCGCCTCGACCATGTTCCCACAGAGGGCATGTAAATGAGCTTGTTCCGAGGGGAGGAACCAAGTGGAGTCAACCCACAACAGTCCTTTAGGGTCGGCTTCAGGGGCCAACAGGGTGGTTTCACGCGTTTCTTTGAGGACAAGAGTGGGAAAGCCTGCAGATTGGCAGAGGCAAACTTGGCAGTGGCTAGAGCTGAACATCTTCTGGCAGAGGGTTCTCAAGTGACATGGTGCCAAGCCGGGTGTAAAAGAACTCAGCTTATGGGAGATGGAAAACGAAGAAGCTGGCTTTAAGGGGCGCAGGCTTCCATATGGAGCGATGACCCTTGCCCAACTTGTTCTATGTATCAAGAAATGTTTCCATGGATTCAGAAATTGCTTGCACTAGCAAATGCAGCATTGCGCTAGGTCGCGCAACCATACAAATTGCAACATTGTACTTGAGCACCTATTGTCTACATGAAAGTCACCACTTGGAATTGCTATGGCTTGCAGCTGGGATAATGATTTCGGAATGGGTCAAGTTTTCAGCTCTACTAACTCTTGTTATGAACAATTCTCACTTCATTCCAGGACTTCTTGGACAGAAGGAAAGAGCAAAGGCAGCGGTGTTGGTTCAAAAGTGGATTGATGTAAATGCAAACATGTACTGTAATCATCCAAGAGAGAGAGAGAGAGAGATGTAGCGTTTTTAGCTCATGGGGGGAATCTGGAGGAAGGGGAGGCCATGTTCTTGTGTGGATTGAGGGTGTCCCCCCCCTCGATATCTGGCCCTATTGGGCCATCTGCGGTGCCCAGGTGAAGATCGTGAGAAAGAGTATTGAGGAGTGGAGAAGGCATCGCTTTGAGAGTTCTAGCCATGCCTTTGACCTCGTGATCTCCGAGCTGCCTTTTGGCGTGAGTCTTCGCAGAGTCGAGGCTTGAGCTGCAAGCCGCGAAAAGCAGGTGCTGGAGCGGTTGGAGGGTTCGGATCGCAGGTATGTCCATGTTGCCACTGGGAACTGGTTTGGGGGCAAAGGATAAAGATGGTTAAACCCAGGTGTGGACAGTTTCAAGACTTCATGTTGGTGGTATGTTTCCTGCTAGAACTGTTGTATTTCTGCTGTTTTTGGTCAGCATTTTGACGCAAGATGCAGTAGGCAGCTCTTTAGTAGGCACGAAAGTATGTGACAACAGTTGTCACGTGACCATTTGCCGCTTCACTTTGTTCCACACCCCAAGCAGCGACGGGTTGGGATTCGTCCGGTTCCGCGAAGAAATTGAGGACTCGAGTCTCCTCATCCAAGCTTTGAATGCAGTCTTGCACCCGGAAGGGTGCGCAGCTTTGATTTGCCCACAAGAGCAGGCAGCTGAGCTTCAGAATGCCCTCACCGAGCAGCACTGGAAAGTACATCAGTGTGAGGGCAACGTGGGAGGCGTTCCAGTGCAGTTCCTCTATGCTGAGCGAAGCAGTTGACATCAAGCCACTTTCGCCGCACGTGTGCCACCAACTCACAGCAGACACGGTTGCAGATCCTGGCGGCGTTTCACAACGGGAAGATGAGAAGCGCATTGCCCTTGTGGGATGAGTCCATGAGGACATACCAGTGGGTTGAGCACAAGATCAGATCCTTGGCTCGGAAGCCTTCTGACAAGGACATTGATGCAACTGCACAGCAGGAGCGCCGGGGCTGCCTCAAGCGCGGTGTTGATGGAAACTGGAAGCCCTTTGAGAGGCTGCTGGTCCTGATATCGATATCTGATGGCCGCTTCCAGATTGGCAAAGCTTCTGCAATACTTGGCTAGGTGCGGCCAAAATCTGGTCTCCTTGCCACGGCGACACCCTTCTCGCAGTGCGTTTCGGTTTTCTTGTCCACCATGGACGTGCTTGAAGGCAGTTGCTTAATTCAATTATGATCAATTATACGTGGATGAAAGCAGTGAGCACACATCCTAGATTGAGGGCTGCAGCTGTCTTGGAGCTGACCTGTGCATAGTACTGTAAACCTGGTTCTGCTTCGGTGATGTTCCCTCTGGGCCAACCTCCTTTGGGGGGAAGTTGTTTCTCACGGTTTTCCTGCATGGCAACATTTGCAAAATCCAAGTCAAGTCAAGGTCCCGAGTTTCTTCAGCGACTGGAGCGACTTCTGCTTCTCCAACTGCTGAGATCGGACTGCGGAGATCCGACTTCGAAAGCCTGGCTATTTGGGTCAGTGGTGTCATAAGTAGGTTATACTTGAGGTGGTGGGCATGGTTAAGAAAATGATGGAGCTAAGAGCAAACAGCATGACTACAGTACATCAATGCCCTTGGTTCCTAGTTTCTTGTTCCTAGTAGCAATGTCCTCCACCGAGAACTTGCGTTTGAACGCTCTTAGTAGAAATGCCCTTGTCCAATTTGCGAGGCTCGGAGGAAGGATTTGAGAAACGACTGGTTCGATCGGCTCGTCGAGCGAACCGTGGTGGTTGATCATGGGAAGTGTGGAGAAGAACGAAGGCCCCGAGTTCGGAGGAGCAGTTTTCGAACTGCAAACGGGTGGTGAACTCCACTTCTATGATGATTTCAGGGAGTGTTTGCTGCAAACAGTTCAGTGCCGCCGTGCTGGATTGGGAGAACCTCGGTCAGAACAGGTTGCAAACAGATAGGAGACTGAGCTGGTGAAGTTTCATCCCACTTATATAACATAGTTTGGTGGACACCATGAACTGCTAACTACTGTTGTGGGTATCCTGGAATTTCCTTTCACCAGAGTTGTTTTGAGCAGAGCAGGGCGGTGTCGTCAGTGGGGTAGTCTTTTTCCCTTTGGCAGCTGCGGTGTCTCAAGGCCAATGGTGTTGGTGGTTCGGCGGGGCCAGCAAGAACTAGGCCAGCATAGGCCGTCTAAGTTAGGGTGAGGAGATGCCGAAGAAGCGAGCCAGCGAATCGAGCCACCAACGGGCCAAGCTACTATAGAGTAGCAAGAACATGCAAGAACGTTCTTTGCACCAACGTGCTTTGCGAAAGATGGAGCCATCAGTCCGCATGGAGCCAGCGCCAGCAGCATCAAGCATCAAGCCAATCCTAGCATATCGCACCCACTGAGCCCTTGTCCTTGATAGACCCTTGGGGACAAAGCTGATCAAACCATCTATGACCCACCGAGACATACCGAGATCCTTGGGCGCCCTCGGGTGCGAGCCCTCGATGCCCTTCACTGCCATTCCAAAGAAGGGTGGTACCATGGACCCGCCACAGCAGCTGGAACAACTACTGGGCGGCTTACATGCGCCTCGGTGGGCCATGAAAAGCACAGAGTTAACCACCTGGACATGTCGAAAAATCCAACATGTGGAAAAAAAATCAGTGACTGAAAGCTGCTGCTGTGTTTGTAACGGTTGAATGCTGTTCTTCTTCCTGGGATCTTGTTCCAGCCCATGTGTTAACATGCCTGCATGACATGCCTTTGGTTTAGTTCTCATGACCTGTGGAGCTTAGGATTGGCGTGATGTGCAGGGTGTGATCAAAACGGTCTTCCAGGTGCGAAGAGCGGATGAAGCAGGCCGTGCATGTGCCATGTGCGTTCGCTAGGTTGCTGGTCCACCGGACCAGTACTTCACCCTTTAAATCATCCTTTGGAACTTTAAAGGATTTAATCCTTTAACTGATTGGGCCAGGCCGGTTGCAGCTGGTCGATTTTATGGTCCTTTAAAACTGATTGGATTCCTTGGGCCAAAAAAACGACCAGAAAATCCCGTCGATCGATCTCACTCGTAGAGTCTGCCTAAGCCTACAGCGCGATGAGGCACTGTGCGACGTGGCCCATGCTCAAAGCCATGCCGTGCGAGAGGCAAGTGGCTTGCTTCTTTCTTACGAATTTGAATGGCGGCAGGTGCTTTTTACCAGTCATCTCCTCAACACTCAGCCCACGTTCTCCCAATCCCCCCCTTTGTACGGTTCTAAGGCCGATTTCGAAGCCTTTCGCACCATGCTTTGCGCCAGTTGGAACGCCGCACTGCGGAGATGCAGGAGGAGCTCATGGAAAGCCTGCATCGAAAGGTGAGGGTGGCGGATGGTGGTGGGGGTTTGGCCAGCCATTTCAAGCTTATTTCAGACATTTTTGCTTTCCACCTTTACATGGGATGATTGATCCCCACGATATTTTTCAGTGAGTTGAAACCACCAGCCAGGCAGACGATAATAGTATACATATATATGTATATGTAGGTATGTATATATAGAGATGTATATATATAAATTATATATATATACATATATGCACTCCCAGAAACTAACATGGAACTTGAGAATTGACCGGTGGAGGTGGAAGACAAGTTTCCTCTACAAACGAGTGATTTTCGGGGTCCATGTTAGTTTTCAACGGTGTATATATTACACATGTTTGATTCAAGACTTGGTGAGACATTTTTTCACAGCTTGACATGATAATACAGCCGCGCACCATAATTACTAATGCACACAAAACATCACAGACTCAGAAACCTCCTGCCAGGAACATTAAAAAATGATGAAGTTTTGCAGGTCCTGCCATGTTCTGTTTGGCCGATGTCTTACTGTTATCAACCGTTTTGCATGTCGGCCTGTCCCTTCCTTTTTAACCATAAGTAGCCAGTGGTCACAGCCATACCAAGCTGGCTCAGTGCGGAAGGCCACACCGGCGACCGATAAATTGATGTAATGTAGAGAGAGAGGGAGAAAGATTTGTATTTATGACGGGGAAGAATGGATGGTGCAATGCATCAAATCGTTGCCACAACCCACTGCAACTCACACCCTTGTCATTGTGTGCCTCGCTCACTTCAATTCATTTGGTTGTACTGTGGGAGGTGTGGGAGAAAAAGAGGATGCACAAGCTCAATCAAGCTATATCAAACTCATCTGAGTAAAGCACATGCATAGAAAACATTCTAGATGAGATGCGGTGGTCAACCAGGCCATGTTTTTTTCATACGATCCCATGAACCCCGACCATTGACCTGTTGCCCGACCCTTTTTCCTCAAGACGCCATATGCAGTACGTTTTTTGGTAAACAAAAAAAAACACTCATTAGAGTGATCTGGAACAGAGAAAGGTACCACTCGCATGGCTCCGCTGTGCTTCCCCGCCCCCGGCCCGGTCTCGGAGGCCGACGTGTCGGAGCTCCGAGACGCGCGCGCGCAAGCGGAAGAGGAGGCCAACCGATCAGTTGGGGGTGGTTGACCGATCAGTTGGGGGTTCAAAGGAGTATAAGTCATGGATTGGTTTATAGGAGTGCTTGGGAAAGCACTGGGGAGCCTATGACTGTCTATGTTGATGAACGGACTGGAGCTCCCTGGCACAAGAAGGAGTACATCTGAAGGGACCCATCGGAGCGATCCCAGCGGCTGACTGGGACCATGGCGACTGGGGAGTGAAGCTATTGGGAGGCACAGGGGAGTGAAGCAGTTGGGTTACCCCCTCCAAACTAACATGGAACCTGAGAATTGGAACCTTGGAAGACCGTTTTCCTCTCCAACCATTTGGGGGTCCATGTTAATCTGCAGTTGGATTACCCTCCCTCCAAGCTGAACACAGAAGCTGACCAGGACCTCCTTAGAGAGAATAATGGTCTTCCACGAGTAGCCTGCGTTCCACTTCCATGATTGTTTCAGAGAGAAAATGAAAAGCACATGGTAAAAAGATCTATTACTTGTTGGATTTATTTGGTGAAGTCCTTTACAAACCGTCATCATCCACTGTGCCCTGGTAATGGGATTTACCCCAGCTAGCATGCCATCAGTTTGACCGATTCTCTTCTGTTGATGCTGACTCACCGTCAGAATTCTTTTTTGGGAGTGCGTTTCTGGTCAACGTCAAGAATTGCTGTCTAAGCTCCTGATGAGCTTCGCCCAGAAAAAAACCGTTTCAGCACCAAGAATCCTCCATCAGCTGCTGGTCCGGTCAGGCACTGACCTTGGTCAGGTGAACGTTCTCGTTCACTTAAGGTCTCAGGTCTCTACAGATCTTGGGTGAGAGAGGTGATCTTGGGTTTTGTTTGATTTTTTATCTCCCACATTAAGATAATTACGTTGTAAAAGGTCCCTGCTTTGGGATAAGAATCACAATTCCGGGGTCCTGCAGCGGACCCCAATTTGAGAGATACACTACAGTCACAGATGTTTCCCTGTTCCTTGCAAGGCTGATTCTGCGCTGGAGGGGCAGCGCAGGAGCTCTGCCGAAGTGCAGGCGGGGAAAGCTGACAGCAGAGGTTTTATCATAAACAGCCACACCAGGTCAGAGCATTCTCAGGAGTGCATGAATTAGCCTGTAACTAGGATCTTTTGTTCCAGAGGTTTACGTAGTCAACTGGCGATGCGGAGATTCAGGCCATAACACATAGGCCGACCCTGTGGGGTGGGTGATATGTTTCACTGTCAGCAATCCCTAGTGGAAAAGACATGGATTTGTTAAACAACACCCAGACACTCCATGGGACTGCCATATATGCCGCCCCATGACCCCCAGTCAACCACCCCAATTGATCGGCATAGATGGCATACATGGAGTGTCTGGGATGTGCAGTAGTAGCGTTTTCAATTTAGCATTTCTCTTGGAGCGTGTAGTAGCCCTCTTGAATGCTTGTCCATATTGGATCGACAAGAAATGAAAAAGAATGGTCAGTCCTTTGGATTGAATTTAACTTATGGCATTCAGGGGATGAACCCCATTCAGATTGAAATACATTGATCGCCTGCAGATGACATGCTCCATTGATTCTCAAAACACGTTGCTTAAATATGCCAGTTGGCTAGTTCAAGCTCAAACAGTTCCCAGCTGTTTATTAAGGTCGAACACCATCAAACACCCCATGGCGGTGGCATGCGGTAGGTCGTGTAGGCTTGGTGAACTCATGTGAACTCCCATTTTTAACAGCCAGTTTGATAGGAAACTCCACAGGTGTTGATGTTGGTAATTCATCTCCATCAACCCATCAATGTCCACAAGTTTTCATAGACTAAGGCCCTTGTTTTCCGCTACAAAAGCGGAACCACCATCCACCGCCAGGCCTTGCGTGCGGGCTTGGGGGAGCTTCACGCGGCCATGGAGAAGCAACTTGAGCTTCTGCCCGCGAGGAGCGACGTGATGTCGTGCGGACGGGGTCGCTACTTCCTTTGGACATGGGTGTGTTGGAGATTATGGGAGACCCCTCAGTAACCGTTGGGCCGGTGGGACAATCATAAACCGGGAGGGCTGCTCAGTCAAATGCAACCCACGTGGACGAAGTGAGAAGTGACCACAAACGGGTTTGGTGTTTTGCCACATCGACTGAGAATTCCTTCAGAAGTACAGTGCAACAGAGTGCAACCACCTTTCACGTGGGCTCAGTGGGTTCTTGATTGACCTGGGTTTTTCCCCCCCAGAGACACGGATGGTTGGTAAAACGTCTTCCACCACGAAGACGCACACAACAAGTCGAAGACATGTTAGTGTACATTGCTGGCTGCATTCCACAGCACGACTTGCATTGATTTGATTGTGCTCACAGATGCTCACAGCCTTTGCGGGCGCTGGTGGTAATGTGTTCTGAAGAAAAAGGGGATCAACAGAGCACAGCTAAGTGAAGGTACTCGGCGATTGCCAACTCCCATGTAGAAAGATTCGCCTTCATATGAACAAGTGTTTTCTTCTTCCCATAACTTCTTCGCATAAAGGAGAAGAGACTACAGGATTCCCATCGTCCTCACATTATTCGCGGGTTTAGACAGATCATGACAGCTGGAAGAACTGACCATGCCCAAACCTCTAGTATTGGAAGAGTAGGACCACCTCTAAGCGGTGTCTCACTTGTTGCTTTGGTGGTGCCTCCATGTTAACATTCTGGATCATTGTCCTTTGCAGCTGTGGAGAACGAAGCACCTTTCTGCACATCAGTCACCACTGCTCATCATCACTCCACATTCATCTGCAGCGTCTCTTCTCAGTGCGCTTCCGGCGCCGCTTCGCGGCGCCAAGGCAACGAGCAGAGGTGCAACAGTGGCGGAGTGGTTTCGAGGCTCCGGACGTAGAGAGGATGTGTGAGAGAGCCTGTGGCGGAGAGACGTCCGGCGGGGGAGGTGACTGAGTGGAAGCTGTGGGGACGCCTGCGGTTTTTGGGAGACTCTTCTGACCCGGGCGTCCATTCTGCTCGAAGTTCCGTTCTTTGGAAATGATACACCCATACACTCCATGGGGCTGCCATATATGCCGATCAATTGGGGTGGTTTGGGGGGTCAATGTAGGCATATATGGCAGTCCCATGGAGCGTTTGGGACATGTTTGGCATCCCCAAGGAATCGTTCTCCGTCGCTTCTCTCGCCTGTTCCAGATCGTCCGACCCACGGAGTCGCCCAAAAAAAAGAACACACCTGGTCACGGCCTGGACTTCCTGGTCGACCCATCTTTCCCCGTTGTTTCCCTATGAGAACGCTGGAATCCATGCATATTGTTTCAGGTACCCAGACACTCCATGTATGCCATTGGGCGCCATGCCATATATGCCTACATGGCAAATTGGGGTGGTTGACTGGGGTCAATGTAGGCATATTATGGCAGTCCCATGGAGTGTCTGGGATATATCCATCTATATCCGTGAAGAAAGAAGAAATTGAGTAAGAATCAGTTCTGTTCCCAACCTTGATACAAGTCTCTTCGAATACAGACACCTCATGACAGAAGCACATGGTTTGTCGAGGAAAGTCGGAGGCGCATCCACAGTCCCCACAGTGGCGCTCCGCAGTGTGAAAGAGAAAGGCGAAAAAGGGCACTGTGGTTGTGCACAATCCGCTTGTGATTTTCAGGGTCCAATGTATGTCCATGTGGGCCGCACTGCACTTCACCCCACTTCCCCACAGTCACAACAAAATGAAAAACATCACCTCCTTCTCTCGCACCTGGCACGTGTGTCCTAACCGCGCGTGAGACTCGTCGGCAGGTGGGGCTGGCTCAGGTAGTCGCCGACTCCTCCTCAGAGGCCGGCGAAACGATGAAACGTCAGAGACGAGACAGAGACGACTGGACATCGTCCGTGACGATGGGATGGATCGACATGTCACCAGGACGGACGCCTTAGGAGGCCCTTGTACCCGGCGGGTTGGTCAAGTCGCGAAAGGATCGATGATGCCACCCTCCCCCACCAAGAAAAGAAGGGTGGGATGAAACGATGGCCTGGTCCACGCCATTGGTTGATCAAAAGAAGGGACAGCCCCAAGTTTTCAACCAATGGATCTATTGGTACCTGGCATTGGCCCCTCTATGATTTCCGCTCGGTCCGGTGGGATGACGCTTCTGAAGCTGAAGATGTCGTCCAAAGATGTGCATTTGGGACGAGGCAGCCAAAGGATTTCAGGCAGTCAAGCCAGCCAAAACCCTGCACATGACATCCCACAAGACAGTGGGAGGTTGCAGTTGCTTGGAGGTATTTGGCCCAATGACTCAAGGCCGCCCCAGTGAAGACATTTTCTTCTATAGAAGGATCACCTGAGCTGTTCGGTGGAGCAAAACGGGGGTTACCCTTCCCCATGCGCTTCAGTGTGCACCATTGACGGCCAGCTGTTTGGCTTCCTGCAAAAGGCATATCCAAGCTCTTGATTTCTTAGTCTTGGAGTCAGAGGCCTGAGCAGGGCATGAAATGAACTGGCAGCTGAAAGAGAGTGGCACACCATTTTCAGCTTCGTTCTGGGACGGCCTTTGGTCGTTCTGCACAATTAGATCAGGAGTGTGATTCGTTGCGACATGTTGCGACCTCATCCGACGAAGGTAGTCTTTCGAACTTGGGGACCCAGTCGGGCCACACGGACCATCACCCAAGCTGAAAGGGCAACTTGGGGAACCCAACGAAAATCGCCGGAGCCGGGCAGCGATGCCGGTGCCCAGTGGAGCGACCAAAGCGGAAGCTCAGCTGCAAAACGGGGCAACGTTCTAACTGCCGAGGGGGTTGCTTTCGTGAAAGGGTCCAAGGGGGAGCCAACACAGCAGCAAACAACCCAGAAGTGTGGGAAAGATGTTCTACTTGTTCTTGATGTTCTCAGTTCCTGAAGCAAATCCAAGTATTCAATCCTCTTTTCGTGACTTTCTGCCGCTTGGCCTTGGGCCCTTCGCCGTTGAGGAGAAGTTTGCACAGCGACAGCTCCGCAGCGTCATTCTGGAGCAGTCGAGCAGCGATGAGCTTTGGGAAGGGTGCCTTGCAGCTGTGAGTCGAGGCATGTCCCGTGAGATACACTCACATGACATGACATGACAGGGGGTACCTGAGACGTGCCTCTCAGGTACATGTATGTCAAAAAGGACTCACATGACATCACATGTCCGGAGACATCCAGAGACCCCTAGGTACCTTTGTTTTCTGGGGTGTTCTTTGCAGCTGTGAGTCCTTTTTGCCATGTCCCCATGCAGAGGCACAGACAGCCCATGTCCCCATGAGGAACGGTCCGGCGAAGCCTCTTTTCTCGGGGCCCATCCCCCTGTCCGGGGGTTCATGGGACGAATCTGAGACGCCTGTCGGCCATGGACCATCATAGGCCACACCGTAGCGAAAGCACACGGCAAGCCTTAGCTGCCTGTTCTCATGGAGGGGGCAATGGGGAGGGAGAGAGAGAGAGGGAGGGGGGGTTGACTGATCGGCATATATATATACATACAGTATACATACCAGCACCTTCCAACAGGTTGTTTGGAGACCCTAACAGGTGGTTTCTGGGCACCTGTTGTCACCAGGAAGCACCTGTGAAGTCGGGTGCTGGTCGGACTGGCAAGTCCGAGTAAGGGTCCATCGCACCGCCCCGGTGCGAAGCAGCCGGTGGCGATCGGTGGAGCGGAGACCACCGAGATGAGATGAAGAGGTGGCGCTGCCAGCTGACGAGATCCACCAAAAAGGACCCGATTGACTTGGTCGCTTTTTGATGAATCTCGTCTGAGAGCCAACTAGGGCCTAGGGCATCCTTCTGTAAATGGCTTGGTGGCTGGGGTTCCTGCAGCCAACCACTAAGGATGTGTCAGAGTGGCTTGTGTGAAGCGCACGCGGAGGCACGCAAAAAAGAGAGCAACTGAAAGCTATCCCTAAATTGTCCTAAGTTACGTCTGCCAGAGCATAAGTCAAAGAGCAACAGCCTTTGCTCCACAGATTCTCTAGAAAAAGGCCCCCCAGCTATTGCATCTCAACGCTGGAACCCTGATAGGTTATGAGTTATGATAGGTTTTCTTTTTTGAGCTGTTTGACATCAATGGGCATCATTGTACGTATGATTTGTATGTGATCATGTTTGGCCTGCTTGATCCTTCCTCCACAAGCATTTATTTACCACAAAACTTCTCACAGTGGCTGCAAGGATGTGGAGGAGAAAGGCAGAGGCCTTCTTGCCGGCCTGCCAGGTGAAGATTGACCTCGCGTTGCCTTCGGGGAAAGAAGCTGAGTCTTCACTTTTGCTGCTGGGATTTGATATGATTTGATCATTCCCATCTTAGAGGGATCGGTCTGATCCGGGCATTTGATTGCAGTCAGCCTTCCAGCAATGAAAGATAGTTTGTCTTGAATGTTCATTTTATATCAAGTTTGGACCAACCAACAGATTTCTGTTCCCCCCAGCCATCCCCCAGCCTTTGACACCTATATAAGTCTTCCCACAGCTATGCTTGTTGTTTGCCGGTTCAATCCAAAGGCCCCTTCTTTTCGCAAACAAACTGGCCTGGAAGCTCCTTTTCCGTTTCAACGTGTTTCAGGTACTGTATGGGTTTTGAAATTGCAGCTTTTTGCTGCCAACGGCTACGATTTCCGATCATTATTTGGCAAACTATGCAGAGCAGCCACGAGATGCTTCTGAAATAGAATCTTTGCCAACTGATGCTCGTTGCTTGGATTTGCCGGAATAAACAAAACACATGCCCCTAGATATGGCTGTGGGTCAAAACCCACAGCGCCATGGCTGAGGGTAGGTTGACCTAGAAAAGGTCGTTTATGTTGTTCATTCCTGTGGTCCACCATGGTATTTAGTCCTTTCTAAGCGGTGGGTTCCACCTTCGACCGACCAGGGACGCGGTGGAGAAGCTCGCCAGTGGCCTGCGCGATCGGGCGGCCCTCCGCGCCTTCTACAAAGGCCAGGAGGGTCCACAAAACTCCTGAGGGTCTTTGAGTGCCAGTGGTCCTCAAAGCCAGGAGGGTCTACAAAGGCCAGGAGGAAGGTCCGCACCGTCACTGAAAAGACCAAACGACCAAGTGCTCGTAGCTTGTGCCTGCTTCTGCACCGGAGTGGAACAAGCTACGCAGCTAGGGAGAGTGGATGGTGTTGGCCAAAATTGGCTCAACATATGATAGACAAACTCCATGTGGAACTGATGATGACTATCCACAGGCCACCCAGTGATGGCTCAGTGATGGCGCCATTCCCCCTGTGGACCCCTGCAGACTCGGTACATCTTCGATTGGGATGCAGTGTTCGAACTCCGTCCGGGAGGCGTAGATGGTCAGGTCGTGTCTGGGTGACCTGGGTTGGCTCAGACCTTCTGTCCCCATAGTTCAGTCCAAGCCTTGCGACGTCGCTACGTCGCTCCCACTTGGGTGTGGAGCGACGTTGAGAAGAAGCGCAGCTGGAGTGGCAGCTGGATGTTAACAATGGCCGGGTCCATGAATCATTTGGTACCGCTGCTGGGTGAGTGCCATCAAAGACTTCCTCATGATCAAATCAGAATTTTCAGGATGTCCATAATTTGTGCTCCCGCTGGGCCAACAGAATCTGAAAGACTTCATTTTACTGGCTTCTTTTGGTTTTGAAGTGTGACAAAACCTCTCAATATATCAGAGTAAGCCAGGGAGATTTACATGCATGGGCTCCTGTGCGGCTTCGAAAAGTGTTTGCAACATAAAGATACACAGACGCTTCGAACAGCTGGACGATCAACTTCTAGCAGCCATGAAGCTCTACCTATCCTTCCATGCAAAGAAGGGAACATCCCCAGAAGGAGAGAACATCCCCAAAGCGTTCTTTAAGGCAAAGAATGGACCATCACAGTTCTTCTTCCAGATCTATCCTTCCAGAAGATGTTCCTCTTCGCGTTTCGAACATCCCCAGACACGCAGCTGATCCATCTCGAGGCTTTGGATGGTCCGATGCGCAGGAGTACTTCAGCCGCATGGGTGAGACACAAGCAACTCGTCGCTGTGAGACGTTTCGTCGATCAAAAATGGCCATGTAGACACTTGACGAACAAAACCCCCACACATGGAGATGCAAAAGCCATTCTGATGGGCTCCCGGAGGTGTCGCGCGAATGAATGCGACGACTTGTGACTTGTTCTGATCCTGCTGCAGGATCCTAGACACAGAGGCACGGAGAGATCGTGGATCGAAGCCAAAAAGATCCTGAAAGTAGGGAAAAAAAAAGACGGGGCTTGCAAGAGCTGGCAGGCGCATGAACGACCACACTCACTCGTCTTGCCCAGCTGGGCGGATCGATACTCAGCACTGGGCTGCGAACAGGAAAAAAAAGCACCTCCAAAAGACCGTTCGGAACGGAACGGACATCGCAGGACCAGGAAGGCACTGTTCAACACACGAGTTCTACACGGTACCTTCGACAGGCGGAAGTCGCCTGTCGACAGGTGATGGTAGTGGATGTGGACCACAACGACTCCGATGATCGCTTGGCCATCATCCTTTTGGCCTTTCAGGTGCCCCCCGAAGCAGTGCTGAAACGGCCACACGCGCCACACGCGGTGACCTCATGCGCCACCTCATGCGTGGTGAGTGCGTGGTGCTGAGAGCGTGGTGCACCGTTGGGTTGGAAGGTTTCGTCGGTTTGTCATCCAACGAAACCAAGTGCGAAGGGTTGGGCGATGGGGTGCCGACCGCAGACCAAGTGACTCCATCCAGGGTTCAAACAGGAGTTGGTTTCAAAGGTGTTGATTCGTTTTCGATGCGTTAACTTATCCAAGACCAGGGACCAGGGACAAGGCCTCCTTTTCCGTGTCCCTTTGGAACGG